CATATCCTGTTATACTATTTATAGCCTTCCAAATTTTTTATATTCTTTATTTGCGTCTTCTACATTTCTCCTATAATAGTCGTTTTTTGTTTTCCTAATTAATGTATTTAGTTTGTTTCTGTAATTTTTATACTGAGATTCTAGCGCATCTGAATAGTTCTTATTTAAGTTTTTTTTTCAAATAATCCCTGTGTTTAATGGACGTGGTAATACCATATGTAATCCATGGCTTGATTTTCCTATCTTTATTTTGTGGGATATGTTTCGTTTTTTCTGATGTATTTATGTAAGTAAGTATTTTATTAATAACAATGTTATAGGCAACTTATGAGTCGTTAGTAACTAATAATCTACCCAGTTTTCTTTACTAATTAATTCATTTAGTAAATTTAAATTTAAAACAGTATTATTCTTTTGATCTGTAATTGATTTGTGAGATAAGTCTCATATAAAAATGAATGGACTGTAATGTTCAGTCATATCTGAAAGAAATACGTTTGATTCAATGTCAATTTTTTTGGTAATTTCTATAGTTGATCTTACAAAAATGTAGTCAAGAGTAGTTGAAGTGTTGACTGTTACTCTTATAGGATTATTGATGTATGACATGGCGAAATAATCATTCAAATTAATAGTAGCTTTTGCCTGTAATTCGTCCTGATTTTCCTGTACTGTTCAAGCAATATTTATAATTTAATTTTAGTTATTGTAAACTTTATTTTTCAAATTAACTTAATTTCTAGGAAGAATTTAATTTTATTCATTGACAAATTTATTTTCCGTTTACAGGGGAAAGTACAATTGTTCTCCTGTGTTTTTCTAACTGCAATATTTAATTAATTTTATTTATTTTCCGTATCCGTATCCCTAATTATTTTCCTGTCATTTTCAATTGTTGCATATAATATTGTTCACTAAGAATTTATTTCCGGTATACAAGTGTGCCGAACCGTGCACTACCTGTTATATATATTTTTTGTAAATATATTTTGTTATTTATTCCTGTGTTTCTCTTATTGCCGGTTCTTAACCGTTTTCTTTCAGGGTACCATAGGGTACGAGGTATAAAGGAGATAAGTGTTTTAATTATAGACTTCCTGATTCACTGTAGGTGAACCAGAAGCCTGTCACAATTAATATCTAATGTAATACCAAGGTAAACAATTTTGAAACCTTTCAGAAAAGTAAGAAAAGTTATTGAAACTGTCACTAGTTTGTAGATTATATTTTAATGTACAATCTGTCGATATAAGAGATTACATGGTTCATTGAAAAGTATATAATAATAAAATAAGCAATGCTTATAATAACTTTATTTAACACTAGATAGACGCAGATAGAGCTCCCATTATCTTCCAGCACTTGGATCTATCCTTGGACCATTGGACCATTGTTCCAAAATAGTAGGGTTTCCATTTAAAAATTAAAAATAAATTGCAATTTACTGTTATTTTCGAAAAACCGTAAGTAAGTCATGAAGTCACAGATCAGCTGAATGAAGTATTTGACAGTATTTATTCCAAGCTTTTAAACAAAAAAGTTTTCATTCCGATGTCTCAAATAATAAGGAAGATAAGAGCAGGTGGAATTATTAAACGGTTAGCTAATAAAAAAATCTGAGATACGCCACTGGTACACTGTAAATGGGTCTCAATGGGAACTGTGAAGTTTACAAAGATTTTATGCATTCCCATATGTTTTTCCATAAACGAATTAACAGTAACATATTAAAAAATATATTATTCAATATGACGATCATTTTGACAGCTGACAGAAAATTTTCAATATACGCTTCTTATCCAAAAACATCCCAGAAATTCAAATTTTCAATAAAAAAGCGGTTTCGATTTTAAATTTAAAAATAAATTGCGATTTTCAGTTATATCCGGAAAAATCTGAAGTAAGCCATGACGTCACAGACCAATTGGATCTAGTATATGAAAGTATCTGTTATAAGCTTTTAAACAAAAAAGTGTTCATTCTGATATCTCAATTAACAACAAAGATAAAAGCGGTTGAAATTATTAAACGGTTTGTTAATAATAAAAATGCTTAGATACGCCACTGCGGTATACGGTAAATGGGTCTCAATGCAAACTTTGAAGCTTACAAAGATTTTATAAAGATCACACGTACGTACATTTTATTCCATAAATGAATTAATAGTAACATGTTTAGAAAAAATATTATCCAATATGGCGGCCATTTTAACCGCCGTCAGAAAATTTTCAATATACGATTAATATACAAAAATGTCCCAGATATTCAAATTTACAATAAAAAAAGTGGTTTCAATTTAAAAATAAAAAATAAATTGAGATTTTCTGTTATTTCCGGAAAAACCGGAAGTAAGCCATGGAGTCACAAAATAATTGAATCCATTACAAGAAAGTATTTGTTCCAGTCTGTCAAGCAAACAAAAATTATTCCGATATAGAAGAATATAATTAGTACACAGCCTCCCTCCTTACCATTGTGAGCTAAACCCGATCGAGCTAATATGGGATGAAATAAAAAACCAAGTGGCGAGAGAAAACTTTACTTTAACAATGGACAAGATAAAAGGCATGGCTAGATACTGCCCGAGTCATGGAAAAATTGCATCAGCCACACGATAAAAGAAGAAGACAAAATGTGGGATCTCGACACTAGAGTGGATGTTGCAGTTGAACCATTGATTATCAACTTAAATAATAGCAATGACGATTATAGTTGTTCGCCATAAGACGAGTTTTCTTCAGACGATAATGAATAATAATATAATACAGTAAGTAATTTTTATTTTGTTTCGAAATAGCGTCCATACCGATTGTGACTCCCGACATTTCCATAATTTATTTATTACACAATCCTATGCTTATTAATAATCCTCTGACGATTTACAAGTCGTAAACTTTTTACGATATTTACGCCATTCGAAGAGACAGATTAAAAACACGTTACAACCATTTCTGAGAATGTACTGCCTACTATTTTGGAATTGTAGTATAGCAAGATTTGTCAAGCTGTAGCAATATTAGGCTTGTTTAGGTTCTTCAAGAACTAGTTCAGATTTCAGTTAGGAGGTAATTACAGTGGATCAGCTCCTAACGTGTTCTTGAAAAATAAATTCGTCAAATATATTTAAGTACTATTAGCTACATATTACACTATTTTTTCTTAAAAATTGTTATCCATTCTATCCCGCAGCTCTGGGGGCTTTGGGATCTTCTATAGCGAATCATAAATTACAATGGTGAGAAAAGTTCTCAAAAAAAAAACAATTTATAAATCAGGTATAAATAGATACCAGTAATATTTTTAATTTATGTAATATTATCCTTAAAAATACTTTTAATATAACCTTTGCCGACCCTTCTTTTGCAGCCCTTACAATCTTTTCCTCTTTAGGTATGTTCGCTTCTCAGAGTAAGTGTTCTGTGTAGATAATCAGGGTCCTCAATCCCGCAAAGAGGTTGAAGTTGCCACTTTAGGTTCCAAGCTAATTTTTCCATTTGAATTCAAAATCTTGCAATTTAAATAGAACTAATATTATTAGACAGTACAAAAAAATGTAGTCAGGTTTATACAGTTTAAAATTCTCAATTTCAAATCACTTTAAATAAAGTGATGTAATAAGATTTGCTAACATTAAGAAAGAGTAAAACAGTGGTAAAATTAAATGCCCTTCTTCTATTATACAGTGAGCATCATAAGTCTTACCCCCCCTAACTAACTCGTTACTGGGGTCTTGTTAGGAAAATCGCCGAGACAGGTCGATTTTTGATTTCTACAATGTACATTTTTGCATGATTAGTTTACCCTTAATTTTATCCCTTACTGGAGGGTAGCAACCCTTTTGAAAAATTTAAATGGCATGGGGTGGTGAGTGATAGCTCATTTGAAAGGGGGTTTTATTTTCTATTCAACCGTACAAAAAAATTTGAAATTTGCTTCATTACGTGTTGATTTATTAATGTTTAAAAATAACAGAACCTCACAAAATAGGGAAGCAACTAGACTAACAGTGACCTTCTAATGGCAAAAAGTCTTACTTCACGTCTGAACCAAAACCGAAATCATGCAGGGCCGAATTTTAATTCTAAGGATGAGTGCGCTACGTTAATTTCCGTTATTCTGAAACAACAATTAGTCGAGAATTAATAAAGCAAATTTCAAATTTTTTTACACGGTTGAATAGAGAATAAAAACCTCTTTCAAATGAGCTATCACTCACCACCCCATGCCATTTAAATTTTTCGAAAGGGTTGCTCCCTCCCAGTAAGGGATGAAATTAAGGGTAAACTATTCATACAAAAATGTACATTGTAGAAATCAAAAATTGATGTGTCTCGGCGATTTTCCTAACAAGACTCCAGTAACGAGTTAGATAGGGGGGGGGGGTAAGACTTAAGGTGCTCACTGTATAAATAATAAACATTTGAAAAGGTTTGTCTTGCAGATATTTTGCAACCCTGTAGTAGCATTTGTTCAATATAACTTTTATTTGCATTTTTAAATTGCTAATCAGGTATTTAAGGTTTTTAAATTACTTGGAATGTGATGTATAATTTATTACTTTAATAGTTTAGTGAAAATTCAAGTTGATATAATGGACTAGTACATTTCTCTGACATTACTTCAAATCGACTTATTTTCATCTCCAGACACTCTCGTTAAATTTATGACCTAACTTTTTTACACCCATACAAATCCCATCAGTACAATATACGAATTTTCAAACATAACACTAAAAATATTTTTCTACTTGATATTCAAATCGTTGTATTGAAATATTATAGAAACGTTTTTGGAATATTCCAAAGAACAGTGAAATTGCTCCTTAAGCTATTCTGAGAATATTTATGACCTAGAATATTCAGCAATAGACCTATAATTCAAATACCTATCAGTAAATCTGATAATTATAAATTATTTAGGTAATTAATTTTTTTTGTCTCGTCGCCAATGTGGTGCAATTACTTCTAGGTTATTAAATTACTTTTGGAATACGCTCTTACCATTGTGTCGTTCCACCACATATGTAGTCTATAGTTTCTCAAAACAGAAGAATGTTCGTTTACGTGGTCCAATGCTAATTTGACACTCGGCATGACTCCACGACCTTAAAACAAAAAAGTTTTAATCAAAAACATTTTCCTGAACAATGAAAACTTAAAAACTCTTTATGTTAAACACTAGTTAAAATATTCTCTTGCTGTAAATGAAGTATATTATATGTTTAAAAAAACTAAAAAGACAAAATACATTTTTACAGAACAATACAGTTTGTAATGAAACCGAAATGTGACCACCAAAATTTAATGATGCGATACTTTGCATCATGGCCGTTCGTCGCATTCAAATTTGACAGCTCTAAAAATGATTATCGAATAAATTTACAAAAATGCCGCAGCACTTAATTGGACGAGAACTGGCCTAAGTGAAGTGTATGCTGAATTAAATGTAAGAAAAAAATGCATATTTTACGTTAAGAAACGCTAACAAGAAGAACAAAGATTGCGAATACCTTTCAGACAAGGTCTAGCGGAGGTATCAAATGAAAATCAAGACAATGCTTAAACTATGCTGCTCTCTGCAAAGTGTGTTTAACTGCAGAAATGAAATGAATGAAATGAAAATGAATGCCGATGAATGAGTGAGTGAATTGGCCGCAGGTTGCAGTGCCGCCAAGCTATAGACGGATTAGGGCGATGGCACGGTTGGTCCTAAGGGTGTAAAACTAAAAAAAAAATAAACCTCTTAGATAACGTAATCAGTAAGATACGTTTTTCCTGACAATTTTACCTTTCAAGAAATCAGTTTGGTATAGTAATTTTCATAGTAATTGATTTTTTTTACAGGATAATTCTCCAATTCATACGGCTCGAATAGTAAGAGAGTAAGTCAACAACAACATAAATGTATTGCCTTAAGTTGAATCCCATTGAAATGTATGGGACTTCATAGTCAAAAAAATATATCAAAGATACTTTAGACCGACAAACCGCGGTCAACTATGGGAAGTTAAATGCTTTGGCTCGTAATCACTTCGAATTTGTTTATTATATACAAGTATTAGAAATTAAACATTTAAAAAAACCGACTTCAAAAACGTGCAGATGCCATCACCACATCTTAACCAAATTTATATGGGACCACCCCTGAAGTACCCCCTTTCTAACAAAAAAAGAATCATTGAAATCCGACACCGTGTTAAAGAATCATCGCTGAACATACATAAAAAAAATATTGCGACGAATTGAGAACTTCCTCACTTTATATTTTAATCAGGAAGTTTATTAAAGGTATTTACAGAGACAACAGAGACGTGTAATTTAATAGGAAAATATGTTCGGTGGTCCATTTAAATTACATATATGACCCTCTTTTTCTTTTACATTGATCTTTACATATGTCTATCTCTCTCCAATAAAACTAACACCATTTTCAGAGGCCGCTGGTGTTGCTGGTTTTTTGACGTAGAAATATCGATTAAAAGTATTAAAACTGACAACTGACAATGTTGTTATAAACATGTGCATTTTATTAAAATTAATTTAATTTGGGCACCGTATATTTCTCTTAGTCTGATTTTGTTGTTTAATTAATTTTCGTTGGGGGGGAATGTTTATTTTTGCATGAAGCAATTTCTGGAACCAAACTCGCTTTTTTGTACACATTTCTTTCTAGAGGTAAGTAATTTCCAATTTATTAAGAAAACCACTATATAATGTGTGTTTAATAATATATTACACAATGACTATAATTATTTTAGGTGAATTGGAACAGAGATCCATTGTTACAGCTACTTGTGTTCATTAAGTAGGTAGATGAATGTCTGGACAGCTTTAATGGCAGCACAAAGTTCCTATCTACTAGAAAAGTAAAATGTATGCTGAGTAAAAAATCTGCACATGTAGTATTGGCAAAGGACTTTTGAAATGATTAGATATTAGCTATTTCTTACATACACCTACCTCTAACAGCCACTCTATAAAGGAAGAAAAAAAAAATTGAATCACAAAAGGGCAGAATTTTAAATCAGGATGCATTGGAAAATAAATTTGGGGACATCAGGTCGGTTTTGGATTTTATAGAGAGATCAATCTCAAGAAAAGTTAATTTATCCTGCAGAACAACCAGTAGTTTAAGTAGGATTTGCTATAACTTTATTAGAAATTTTCTTTGATAATAAATTGTAATATAGGTACCAATTATTGTTTTAAATGAAATTGAAAAAGAGTTAAATATGAAATTAGATTTTTCATGAGTAAAATGTTATATTCATTCGAACATTGTAAGGTAATCTATAATTAAGAGAATATGGAAAATAGGTATACCCTGGTGGTGTAAGAGAAAGGTAAGTGGCAATGACAAAAAAATTACAAAAATGTATTTATCTTTAAATAGTGTTTATTATTAATAATATTATTTGCTATGTTTAAAAAGTACCTCCTGCTTCCGAACAGATGGAATAGATTAGACTACTAGTTGGAGAAGGTCCACCTAGTAACCAAATTAGGAGACTAGGAAAACTTTTACATGACTGGGGACACAACAGGAATGCACGCACACAAGATACACAAACAAACGAAATAACAGGGGTAAGCCTTCAGCAACGTCCTGTTTAAATGATGATAGTATGTCATCCTTCATTCCCTTTTAGAAGGCATGGCATATAAATCTATTGATCTTGATTACTATAAGAGGAGTTAGCAGGGGTCTAGCAGGTTTTGATCCAGTTTACAGTTTACTTGACTCGGGCCTTATACATTTGTGTTGAGTGTATGTGTGTTTCGTTTCCATGGTTTCTATTAAAATAAACAGTCATAACATATCCATACCTTTTTGCCAGACTAACATAAGTGACATTTGTTCAAATGGCACTTATGATAGTCTGGCAAAAAAGTATCGATACTATACTTTATAAAATATTTGTTACATTAGTTTTTAAATATATTATGAATATATAACTGTTACTTTCTTTGTAATTTGTCACAAAATGATAGGAGGTACTTTCTAAACGAAGCAATTCTAGTTTGTTTTTCTGTACCTTACAAAAATATAATTTATAGAAAAAGAGTTTGGTGTATTATTTTTCCAAGTTTAAATATTTAATAATCAATAGAATTTTCAAGTTTTTTTTTAGCGAAATTTACAAGAGTAATAAAAACTATGTTCACTGTTTATATTAAACTGATTAAAACTTCCTTTATTAAAATGATTATTTATGTGATAAAAAATTTGATGTTATTGGAAGCTTTTATATTTTTTTAATATACAGTGAAACAATAGTTTTTGTTTCTCCTGTAAATTTGTATAGAAAAACTTTATTTCTGAATCCATGTTTGAATTTCCCGCCCTAAAGCATTTTTAATTTTCCCGCTATTTACTAGTGGCGCCATCATAGACTGGTTGTGGTTACAATCGCCCAAATAACTTTTACCGAACAAAAAAATACATTGAGTTACACGTCTCGCTGGATTGTCTCTGGTATTTATTTATAAGCTTACTACAACATAGTTGCAGGTTACAGTATTATGGTAAGTGTTCTGTGATTGTGGTTACTGTGGTAACCCTATTATTGAATGTCATGTGTCAATTTAATTTAAGTTTGGGGATTTGTAAATGGAATTTGAATTTTAGCTTAGACTAGGTAATAAAGAGAGGACGCGTAACAAGTATATCGAGCACACGTAGTATTCTGTGCCGATTATCTATTTGCCGGTATTATTTTGGTGCTAAGCATTTCGGTGACACCAAAGTTTTTGTTCGTGTTTATTTCTGATTTTTGAATTTAACAACATTTAATAATTGGTTTATTATAATGGTTTATTGTGTGGCATATCAGTGTAAAAGTTATAGCGCCAAGAAAGAAGCAGATATTACGTTTCACAGGTAAATAATAAACATCAATCGTTTTTACTTTATATATTTTCTTATATTTTTAATTTTATTTGGTGTTATACAACTTGGTATTTACATATTGTACATGTCTTACTCCAGCGTAATACATTTTACCCACCAATTTTGTTTATTTTATGTTTTTCATTGATATTTAAGCAATTAATGATATTAAAATGGCCAAACAAGTAATTTTTTCCAGTGGCGTGTCGTTCAATATTCTAAATATTAACTTTTATTAAATTCTAATTTACTTTTGCTTTTTATTTAATTGCAGCAATGATTATTTCTTGTTTAATTTTAAATTTCCTGTGGATCCAGCAAAAAATCTTTGGATTCAGGGAACGAAAATTGCAAATTGGATGCCTACGCCAAATGATAGATTGTGTTCAAAACATTTTGAAAGACATTTTTTTTATGGGACGTTTACTAAATGGAGCAGCTCCTATTATATTTCCTGAATTCCCTAAATACATGCAGCCGAAGAAGGTGCGTATAATGATAAACATAATTAAACATATATATGTTATGAACTTTTAAGAATTTACCAACCCTTCTGTGTATAATTCAAAACATTACCGTAATAATTGATTGATTGTTTGTAGGACTTAAAAAGAAGAGTATTGCATTTGTAAACTGAGCCAGGCCCATCAAATAGAACTGCAAATAAGGAATCTATCTTAGAAAGCCCTAGCATAAAACGGCTTAAAAGACAACTTTTACAACAGGAAGAAAAGAATATGTTCTAGTAAGTTTATAAATAAATGCCTCGTTAGATGTAGCTACATATAATTTGGTAGCAGAGTTACCAAACCTAATAAAGAATTGCTCTGGTTACTTAAGTATGTTCTAGTATGTTCTGGTAAGCTTGTAAAAAATCGCCTTAAATATACTATAGCGGATTTTTTAACAGACATCTCCAGTCTCTATCGCTTCTTACACAATTAACATTCCATTAGTATTTTGTAACTGTATGTCGTTTTTTAAAATGTCAGATTTGGAACATTATTGTTCATTTTCACTAGACTTTGATAAATATAAATTCTCAGCAGAAAGTTTTGTCTCGAAAAAGTTGTTCAAAGATTTTAAACATGTTGTGACCACTTTAAAGAGTCATCAACTGAAATTTCAAGTAAGTTTACCTTATTAAATTTTAATAAAAGTTTTCATTAAGTGTCGGTTGATTCGCAATAAGCCACTCATTTAATTCATTAATTTTTTATTAATGTCCCTGAATTGAAGTCCATTAAAATCGGAATTCAAGTGATGGGAAGTTGCATTGTCAGCAAACATACTAAAATTTATATAATTAATATGGCTAAAAAGATCGTTTATTTAAATTATAAATAGTAATGGTCGAAGAACTAAACCTTCCTCCAAACGATGCGAACTAGAAGTTACATTATTATACAGGGTATCCCAAAGAAAAGTAGCCCGTTTCCATTTGATAAAATTTGGTTAGGGTTAATTTAAAAGAGGAGATTTTTAAAAAACACCCTGTATAGGTAATACATAATTTCTGTGTCACTGAAAACTTATAGCAAAATAACACATATTAGCAAAAACCGCACGTTTCTACGATTTGTTTAAAAGTTGTAAGCTCTGGAAATGGGCTACTTTTCATTGGGACACCCTGTATAATAGATACTCCGTAATATTCGAGTTTTTCTAGAAGCACTTTGTAGGAAATACAAAATGTGTTGTATGTTCACCAGCCACAAAATTGTCATCCAAAGGAAGACCAAAGAGCAGATGTAAATAAAGATCAGGTGTAAGATGATATTAATGAATTACCGGTAGAGCAGTGGAACAAACGTTTAGAAAAAATTATTTACCTAGCCAAAAGACACAAAAGACTTTTTCAAAAAACTAAAGGATAATAAAAACTAACCACCCATCTTTTAAAATAGGATCAATTGAGTTCTATTTTATAAAAATACTTGTAATTTCTCGTGATATGTATTAGCTAAACATTATTGATGACTGATTCTTTAGCCGTACATCTTAGTTTACAATGCAGATGGTATTTGTTATTATATAATAAGTTAAATAATAAGATTTTGTATCTTATTCTAACTAATGTCCAATTTCTTTGGTTAATTAGTATCATTGGTGATTTAAAATTAAATAATACTACTATTCACTAAAGAGTAAAGAAAATTGTGTTTAATTAATTGTATTTTATCAAAATAAAATCTTACCTGTATCAGAATTTTCCACCCCTCTTCCGTAAGGAAAGAATCCAGCTACGTAAACGTCGTGTCTTTTATTGTCCATATTCGGTTTTTGAAATTTACAACATTTCAAAAACATTAACAACAAAACAATCGTCAACACTGCTAAACGGTGCATCGTGCGGCAATTTCAAGACCTGTCAAACACTAAAAAAATGTTGTTTATTTCTTCGTAAAGTCGGTAACTGTGCTAATAGAGCATGGGAGTTATTCCTAATTCGACACATTTTTAAAATATTTTTGAAAGTTTTTCGGATTTTTTTCGCGGAACTGCGGCAGGTTTTTTAGTCACTAGAATATTTGCGGTACATTTTTCTCGGTTTGAGCTGAAAATATCGGAGTTTAAACAGCGGTTATCCTTGATTTCCCGAGGCACATTTCCACAGCTTTATTGATTTCTGTACGCAAGATCCTTCGCTTTATGAGAGAGCCTTTGAGGGCGCATGTCGCTGCTTTACTTTTAATTTATTAAAAAAAACCACCTCCGCTTCGTTGAAATCAACCCCTAGATAACCGTTAAATTTGCGGAAAATTGGGATTCTTCCTTATCATTATATTTTTTGTTAAAAAAACCTGTTAGGCTGCGGTTCTGTGTAATTTGAAAATTGTTTTTGCAGATACGTAAGAAAAAGTTTAAATGAAATTTTTAGTTTCCCGCTGTTCCTACTCACTTTCATAGGATTCTAAAGGTAAAATATTGTTAGGTAGAAAAATATTAGAATGCATAATGTTTTCTATTAGTTTATTTTTTTTAATATAGCAAATAATAAGATAAATAACTGTGAGCAAGAATTTTATTTGTTATTAAATATTATTCCTACTTACAATTTGTTTCTGAACTGGTATCAAAATAGTACAAAATAAATAGCGGAAATATTAACGGATTGCCTAACTGTAGCAGTTTTATTATGATAAATAATAGTTATTTATGTATCAGGGGCATAAAACAGGCGTTTATGGACCGCAACGTGTAAGTAAGGTCCATAAACGCTGTTTACGCCCGAAATGCATACAATATTTTATGCACGACCGTTTTAATAGTCATTTATTAATAAATATACAAAATTTTATGCACGATCGTATTAATAATAATTTATTAATAAATATGTTTTATTTTCTATTTTTCACCTTTTGTGAGTAGGTTATTATAAATGTTTCAAGTTGGATAAATTTTATGCCTCGATATTATTATAACTCACCCTGTATAACAATCTACCAAATCATTTGTATAGTTAAATAAAAATAAGTCTTATTGAAACTAATAAGATGATAAAATAACAATAATCTATATACCTATACGCGTTACCATAGCAACCAAGTCAATAGAACAAGAATAGGTAGACGCCATTTTTATTTACAGTCGACTTCACGTATTGCAAGTTTCTTAGTATATTTTCGAAGAAGTTTTATATATTTTGTTTATGTAATGGACAGTAGTGACGCATGGGCGAAGTTATGTCATCAGATCTGGGGGGGCTAAAGCCCTAGCCCTAGTCATATGATATATAATAGTTCTAGAGGTATACTGAAGTTTAGTAAAAAAATTCTGGTGAATCTATGAAAATGGATAAAATATCATATATAATATATATTTATATCAAGTAAAAAACCTAAAAAATTTTCATCACAATAATTCATTAAAAAAATGTCCTCATTTTCGCAGTCATGAAATAGTAGTTTGTGCAACAAGAGTAAGTATGGACAATTCACTCGAGTTGTACAGTATATTTTTTCTATGAACCACTAAGGAAAATATAAAAATTTAAAAAATTATTTTAGGTTTAGACAAAATAACTAATTTTAAAATAATTTATGAATTTTATTAATTTATAAAATATAATGAACATAAAATAAGCCCCTTGTCCAGATTCGAACCCAGGCTATTCGCGTGGAATCTAGATGCTCTGTCCTCTGCTCCACTCCACTCCAAGTTTTTAGTTTTAATACTCGTAATTAAATCAGTTTCATACAATTTGATTAAAATTATTTTTTTTAAATGTGGCCCAAATAAAAATAAAAATGCCATATTTTATCGATTCTAAACAAAAATAACTAATTTTAACGTATGTAATCTTAATGACTAAAAAACATACTGACAGAATTTAAAATTTTAAAAATAATACTAGTTGGGTGTCCAAAATATGAACTGTGATTGGTGGATTTCATTTTTTTGCAGTTTTCTCACTATGTTATGTTGGGAATGGGGTGTTAATACACTGCGACCTTAAAGATCTATTGTGCCCCCTTCTGTCGCTTATGCAGCACGGAAATGTCTCAATGCCTATAACGATCCTTCCAATTATATTTTCTCAAGAAAGTGTAGGATTTGGAGTGGCTTCAAGTTAGGTAAATTTCCCTCTTCTATTTTATATGCTCCTAGGTATGGTGCCCTTTTATTCTGGAGTGCTACACATTCAGTTAGAAAGTGAACGAAGGTTTCGTCCTCCTCACAAAATCTGCAGTCAATATCTTCTACTAATCTCAGGTTATTAAGGTGTCATTTTAGTTGGCATTGTCCGGTAAGGATCCCTGTTACAAGTGTTCTCACTACTAGAAAAATGTATAATATAAAAACAGCTTCAAATACAATCTGGCTAATGTGGAACACCCCGAAAGCCTTGCCAGACTCATCTAATGATCGCCAGGCGTGCTAAATTCTGCACGTTCGATTGCTATTCCTCTCCTCGTTTAACTACCTGGCTTGTCAGGTCCGACCGAGGTATAACCGAAACAGAAACTAAATTTCGGCTCCTTTCTTAGTTTCGGCCGAAACCGAAACAGAAACAAGAACTTTGTTTTAAGGCAATCTCTTATTGAAATTTGCAGTATCTTACTGTAATCCTTGTTTTAGACTAATTAATTCGTATTATAAATTTAAGCTACATTTACTTATTACCTATTTATTGTTGGTGATCAAAAGTAACCATTAATAAATTTATGGACATTGTTTTTTTTATTACCTTTAAAATAAAAAAAAAAGAGTAAGTGAATTACAAAGTATCAATCATTTCTGCATCTGTAGTAGATATTTTGTAACAAAAAATAGTAAGTAAACAGTCTAACGTTGTAGGGTAAAAAAAATATTTTTCCACGTTTTCACCTAAAAAATTGATCCTCTGATCCAAATAAATTAGGCCAGGAGCACTGAAGACTGTTGACTTGAAACAAAGCAGAGAAGTTTGTGTGTACGTGCACTGTGTAAGAATGGCACCCGGCACAGTCGCCATTGTGCAGGACACAACCAAGTGTGATACGAAAACTTTCGAAAGTAGTTTTGCTGTCGGCTGCAGTTTCGGCCAGTTTTCCGCCGAAACCAAAACTGTAGTCGAAACTCTTATTTTAAGCCGAAGTTGGCCGAAACCGTAACCGAACCTTCGGTCGGACACTACTTGTGAGTCTGGCAGGCCTTCGTGATTGTAATTGTCAGTCAGACGTGTATTTTCACTTTTTCATTTTTTCGAACTTAATAATATTTTGAAATTTAGTCGAAGACGATGGATAAATTTCTTAAAATATGCGTGAGTGAGCAAAAATTTACTGATACTAATTTAAGCACATGTGGTATTGGGTAAGAAAATTTTACACCAAAATATCCAAATTTCAAAACTTGACAGACATACATTAAAACGACTAAAATCAAATTTTCAAAGCTGGCCATACCACAGCATATAAAACATATGTTTTTAAATGCTGTGGCCAAACCATGACCATTTGTCATATTTGAAGTCGTTTAATTGACGCGAAAAACCTCATTATTATTTTACTTAAAATAAATGTAGTGTATTTCTACCTAGTTATAATTGGTATTAAATAAAATATTAACCACTAAAACGGCAAATTTTTAATCACACTATCGCGTTGCGTCGTAATATTTTAGGCATGGAAGGGCTTCTCAACTTTCAATAAAACATATATTTTTAAATGCTGTGGCCAAACCATGGCCATTTGTCATATTTGAAGTCGTTTAGTTGACGCGAAAAACCTCATTATTATTTTACTTAAAATAAATGTAGTGTATTTCTACCTAGTTATAATTGGTATTAAATAAAATATTAACCACTAAAACGGCAAATTTTTAATCACACTATCGCGTTGCGTCGTAATATTTTATGCATGGAATGGCTTCTCAACTTTCAAAAAAAATTTCAGTATAATTTCGTTTAGGGTACCCACCAATAGGAAAATTACCGGAAATTTTTCTGGTTGTCATGGAAACGTTTTAAAATAACAGCATTTGATCGGCTATAAAATAGAGGTGTAAAATTACAATATAATCTATTACGTGACAAATTTTCAAACCCGGGAAAGTAAAAGCAAAAATATTATATTTTTTCGATTTTGAAGATGTTACCAGACTTATTTGCCAATTTCGTAAATCAGCCAGACATTATTATTAACATTTCATGATTGTATCAATTTATATGCTAAATTTTCTGCCACACTCACTTTCCACTATCTGAGATAATCCAAACTGCTATTTTTATAAACTTTTTATTCTAGTTTAGTAAATGTATAATATTTATGACTGGGAAATTAAGAGTCAGACTCAAAATTTTTGTTTTTGTTACTCATATACACCTACTGGAAAAATGAGTAGGTACGAAAAAAATTCACTGCCTCCTGAGCTAAATGTAAAATTGCAGAATCAATCAAATGGCACGATTCTTTTTAATTTCTGTTCTAAAATCTGAAATGTATGGGTGGATGTGCGATAAATGTTCAAATTATTTTTGGGGGGCTAATTTGGTTTTTGGGGGGGCTTAGCCCCCCCAAGCCCTCCCCTAACTTCGCCCATGTAGTGACGATGAAATAGTTTCCGGAATACCACCGGAAATTTTTAAAGCAGCAGAAGATGCAAAATTAAGTTTACTACCCGCCAAATCTAAGAGAATATACGATAAGGTCTACGATGAATTTGTTAGCTGGTGCAAATTGAAGAATGTTATAGCCGGTAACTATACAGAAAATGTATTTCTTGCATTTTTTCTGGAAAAGTCCAAATGCCGTAAGCCGTCGTCTCTATGGCTATATTATTCGATGTTAAAAGCAACTCTAAATTTGCACAATAATATAAACATCGCTAGATATTCAAGATTGATAACATTCTTAAAACGGAAATCAGACGGTTATAAACCAAAAAAATCAAAAATTCTAACCAGGGAAGAAATAGAATTATTTTTAGTAGATGCTCCAGATAATTTATATCTTATGATAAAAGTAAGTTAATTGTTTTTTTTTTTTTTTTTATTTTAGACTATTATGTTAATATGATTATTTATTGTAGGTTGCACTAATTTTTGGTATTTACATGTCGTCGAGAGGAATTAGCTAATATTTCAATAGACGATATTCAAGATTTAGGAACAACCTTATTGGT